GGTCAAGCATGCGAATAGGGCGGGGAGTGCGTCAATGTGGAGGAATACATTGTTAAAACGGAAATGCCGTTATGCCAATGGACCAAAGAATTTTTGAACGGGATGCAGAATACGAATGCCCACCTCTCCACCCCCTCAGACTGCGTTATCAAGATGCAGGTGAAAGCGCACTGGATTTCACCGAAATTCCCTAATGAATTTAGAAGAGGAGTAAGAATTGTTTAATGAATGAGTGGAAAAAGAACTTGCGCCGTTTCTGGAGTGGAGTTGTGTGGGCTTACCCCAGTCGCCATTTTCGGGGACTCCTCGCTTATTCATTAATCTGTTATATGTCAGCCAGTATTACTCTCTAACTTGCTCTTTTGCTATACCATAAGAACACGTTTATCTAGATTTGTTTTTTAATCCCCACTCATCTTAATGTTTTTTTCCTCACTGCGATGAGTTTTGTACAACTGTTAATCTCAAATGAAAGCGAAGAAGCCGAAAAGTTAGTCTAGTTTGTGATATCAAAGCATCACCTCTCCTTCGGAGAGGTTCGCACTGTTCGTGTAGATGGATTAAATTTCTTAATTTTTACAACATTAGCAAAAAATTCTGATAATATAATTTGAAACCATCACATGCGCTTTTGTGCGAAAGGTTGAAAGTTTGTCTTACCTTTTGACGACATCTTGAAGGGTAAAGGCACAGAGGCCATTCGATCCCACTGCTGTCCCTCCCCATAGCAACACGAAATGAACAATCAACTTACTATTCTCCAACAAATTGGCCATGACTGCTCTTTGACTTTATCAGGACGAATGAACTAATTTCGTGACAGACAGAGAACACATACTCACACACATACAGACAAACTACGCGCTTCATTATAAGTAGTGATCATTCTGCATCTACTCAAACACTCAGAATTATGCGATTATATCAAAATCCTATAAAGGCAGAGTTAGCCGAATGTAGTGCTTTACATTTCCAGGATCTCACCTCGGTGAGGTCACGGGTTCGATTCCTCACTGGGACATGATTCTTGCCTGCGATTCCAGCGTCAGGCTTACCCTCAGGATGCGCGACAAGCCGGCT